ATCTAAACGCAACCGTTGCAGGCATCCCTCGTCCTATCTAGTGGCCCTTTCTTTTAAGCACACAAATAGACGTAACGGTAAAATAAATCAGGGAACGTGTCCGCCCCTGAAAAACATCACCACTAATTTGTGATGCTTTTATCTGCACGCCACGGAAAGTGCTAATGTTTTATCCGAACCGAGGCGTCGCTTTGCGCCACGAACAACCTTTGTCGCTGCACTTCGCCTGGGAGAACAAAACATGGCCGCTGACGCGCATTTTCGTTCCACAATTTTGGACGACTCTCTCTCAGTTCTCTTGATATGTTTTATTCGTTTTCGGTTGCGACACGCTGTACAAGAGGTCGCATTGTTGTAGCTTTAATAATATTTTAGGGGTTATTGTCTTTCTAATAACTAGTTTTGAGTCAAAATTTTACTAGACGCAAGAAAATTAAATTTGATAGGGTAAACTTTTGTTCAAGCCTTCAAATCCAAATTTGCTGTTTTCTTCACTGATTTTCATGTACTTAATGAAATATTGCAAATATTTCAAATTTCAGTTAATTGAGAGCCTCAAATCAGAAGCTTACCCTACTCCTCCTTATAACTCATATTTTAGCTTTGGTGATAAAACAGACTGAGCCTTGTAATTTTGATTTGCCTATAACCTCTATATGAACTGTGCAATCTTTCATAAGCGAAACATTGGAATGGACGTGTATAGAACAATGACTAAACGGAATTTCACCAACGATGCTGCATAAATAGGGCGAATGCTTCTATGACCTACTGAAGAAATACATCATAAAACAAAGCTAGGATTTTCAACAAAGAACAATAATCAATCATTTGATAGAGCTTAATTTTAGACTTGAGAAACCAATAGTGTCACTCTAAAAAGAGATCAAACCAGAAGGAAAAAGTTAAGTAATGTCCCCCTAAAAGCTTGTATGTGGCGTTTTTATTTGAGAAGATTTAATCTCATCGGGGTGTTAGCGTTAGTTTCAAAATTTTAAGTAAAAAAGTTGCTTCGCAGTTTTTTGTAACCAAGAGGTATATTAACATAAACGGGTAGATAGATCAATAGTGAGACTACTCCCACCAATCTCAAAAAAATATATATTTTAATCAAGGCAATAACATAAATATCCCGACACAACTAGCACCACGCGAAGATACTTACTTGTTCGCAAAACTATATAACTGATTGCTTTACCGTAAATTTCAAAAACTCATCTGACGTCGCGAGCTGCTGATATACCGTTTCAAGCTGCCCTGATACCGCCTTTTCAAAGCGTTTGGATCATCCAACCGATGAAGATTATTCGTTCAAAGACAAAATTTCATATGGGCGCGCACACAAGAGTTGAGCATGTCACGTGAGTTTTAAAAGTTTATCTCTATTATTTTATAGTCGCAAACAAGCCGGTATATTCTTGCCTCTATCTCCCTGATCTTCCTTGCGATCTTGTAGGGTCCTTCTCACGGTCTTTTCAATTTCAGGCTCCCTCTCTCATCTCCATTTTCTTACTGTTCAGGCGTAGTGGTAATATCGTGAATCACCCTAAGTCTGTTCTGGATATCAGCCACATAAACTAGGAGTAAAGCTTCGTCTTCATCGACCGTTAGTCGGCCAAACATTAGGTCTACGGAAAGCTACATTTCTCTCTCTGTCAACAGCACTGATGGTAAATGTCCGGTAGACTTATGCTGAGAGCTTCTATAAGCAAGGAGGAAAGGTACTAGCTTATCCCAGTCTCGATGGCGCTCATCCACGAACATCGAGAGGCTTTGATTGATGGTCCCATTGTGCCTGTCGAGCATTTTGTCGAACTGAGGATGAAATGGATTCGTCCTGGTTCTCTTCATTTAATTTATTTAAGTCTATAATTGGGAAGTCGGAAGTCTTCAAGTATTTTGATATAATTTTCACTCTGTACCAATTTCATTGTCAACCACAGGGCAGAGTACTAGTAGTAATCGGTAGTTTTTCATTTACTTGTCTCCTAATTTGTGGCATCCTCACTGTGATACTGAGGTGCTCAAAATATGATTGTTGAGCTTTATGAAGTCTCTAGCGGTACCTTTTTTGCATGTCACTTCTCACTGCTTGCAATCGCGTTGCTGAAATTGCTCTAGCTGTGTATCAATCCTTGTTTCTTTTGCGTTTAACGTTGACATTGGTGGAGAGCATAATTTTGGTTTTTGGGATCAGAGGAATTTAATTATTGTTGATTGCTCCAGAGGGAATGGATGTTGACCACTGACGTTAACACTTTGCCGAATAATCATCTTTTATTTTCTGAACTTCATTTGCTCCGACGTATTGATGATCCATCGCGTGGGTTTCCAAAAATTTCATTAAAGTCTTCTATTTCGAGAGGGTTCTAAATACTTTTTTCATAGACTTTGTTTGCTTCTGAATCTCATGTCCTTGAAGTAAGACGTGTTATCATGAAACCCCATTACTCTGTTCCCATGCCTTAATTTGCGATTGCTTGACGACACTCCTTAATTACGTCGCGCAGTTATCTTATCTTTTCTGCTCTTTCAATTTGGATTACCTACTGGAAGATTAATAATTTCCGATACAGAAATTTTTTTAATTCTGGTTGCGACTCAGTAGTAAGTTCTATGCTGTAACATAAATTACTTCCGAAGCAGCAAGATGTTGCTGCTTCATTTTTTATAGGCGTCTTCATTCTGATTGCTTGATTTTAATGTTTCAGTTGCTTCAATTTTTCGTGAAGTATGGTGCTTGTCAACTGTATGTGTTGATCGAACAACAGGCTGAATGGGTTGACTTTCATAAGTTGTTACAAATCTTTTGAATTATTTGAACTTTGAGACAAGATAACCTAGGATCGTGAAATTGAAAAAATTAAGATAACGTGTAAATGTGCAAATGGCAATAATGTTATTTTGTTTACAATATTATATAGTAACATAGAGTAACAGTAAATGTTACTTTCTCTAAAATTTTAGTGTTGACAGCTTGGTTTTTCCGGCGAATCTGATACCATGTACCTTTCCAATCCGGAGCTCTTCAATGGGTGTTGGGGTTTCACTTTCGTGAACTGGAGCTCTTCGTGTTGTTTCCTGTATCCAGGAAGAGGAAAGATTGCTGGGGTGACGTCAGTCCAGCTGATCCAGACTCCAAACAGTGATCTTTATGTGGAGTAGGTACCCAGAAAAGAATAAGGCAGTAACAGGTTCACCAATATTTAAAATAATAACAACAAGATTAAATTAAAATGCTCGTTATGATTGAGCAAAATGCTGCTTTTCTGGCAGTAGCTCTAGCAGGCAAAAAAAAATATGAACAAAATAAAGTGAAACAATAAGAAATTAAATCTTTGGAATCTCCCCCAAAAAGACAAATTTTTCCTTTTAAATTAAGGTAGCTACTATAGACACTACAAGATAAACCTGACGGTGAAATCGATCAAATCCAGAATATGTCAAAATTCTTGAGATGTTTTAATTAATACTTTTTCACTGAATTTTTGACCTGTCTGGATTTCTATTAAACAAATTACACCCATTATTCGGGATAATAATTGACGGAGTCAAACAGAAAATGGCTATTCTGGCCTCTGCCTGGATGCAATAAAGAGTTGATAGGGATGGACACACAAATTTGGTTTTCACCGACACTATTTAGAGCAAATGGTCCAATATTCCCACACTAACAATTGATTCTGAAAACCAGAGCAGCAGTACCTATCTAAAGTCCAAAAATCTGAATTGACTTACCTCAGATAAACGTGGCACTACCAATCGCACAAAATGGGAGCCCACAATTAGATAAAAAATTAAAATATAATATTTATATTTCAGGAATAGATAAGATAAGATTTATCAGGTAAAAACTTAATAATGATATGATAATATGCATTGATAGCAAAATATATTGAAAAATCTATGAGGGAGAATCCAAAAATATAGAGCAAAAATTATTAAAAATAAAAAGGACTCGCTTGCTAGACTACTGTCGAGAAAAGAGAACGTTTTAGAAACCAAACCCCACAGGAAAACGATCCTGTGTTTTTTATACTTAACTGCATTTTAACCAGTTTAACCAATCAGACGAGTACACCCAAAAGATCATATTCACTTCTCAAAGACATCACAATGAGAACCCACGAGGGATAAAAGAGAATACATAAAAATCCACTAGAATTATTTTAATTGTTCACAAATTTTAATAATTTAAATTAGGGTTATATCAAAAATAAAAAACTGTCAAACAATCAGGTCATTAAGCCAAAAAATAATTATTTCAGAATCAGAAGTTAGAGAAAGACAGAAATATATGCATTTGCTAAAAGTGAGATAAATATAATTTCTTTCAATGAAAATACAAATGACTGTCAAATGCGAAATAATTAAAATTTTAATAAAAGATTTTTTAAGTAAATTTCAATACTTATATATTTCCACTAATTTGTGTTAAACTTTTAACATGTTTCGCTACACTGTAGCTTCATCAGAAAGACTTTAAAAATTAAATGTAGACATAAAAGTGAAATTGACAAATATAAGAAAAGGTAAAAGCTGGTCTAATTTTATGTTAATTTAAATAGGTATTATACAGTAAATAAATTTAAAAGTGGTGAATTAATAAAAAAAAATAATTACTTTGAAAAATAAATCCATCAGGTACTAGATGGCAGTACCTTCATTTAATAGATATTTGCATTTTAGGCACATGATGGATAGATGGCAGCACTTGTATTATTTTGAACTTTGTGGATATTTTTAGAGCATCTATTAGGAATTATTATTTTGCTGATTCTGAAATGGAAAAAATACAACTTTATAATGAAAATAAGAAGAGATGGAACATGTTACGTGAATTTTAAATTAATCGTATCAAAGTTTTTCTGTCAATTCGTCATCAATAGCTCCATACCGCTGCTGAATACTACTTGTCCAATTTTTTTAGATTTTCGCAAATCTCTTGTTGTTTCTAGTCGATTGGAAACATATTTTCCTGTTCTTCTTGTCTTTTTTACCATTAGAATGAGTTTGTACCATATGCTTTGCACCTCTAATGCCAGAATATTCAGTGCCATCATGAGTGTCGTCATCGTGCATCTGTTGTCGGAAAGGAACTTGTTCCGCCGGCACTTTTGTACACTAATGATAGCGCAGTCGGAATAAACTGGTCGTTCTTTGATAGTTTTGTTGAATAGGGCGGTACTTCTTTTACTCCTGGAATCGGAGTAAGCCTGGTGTGACCAATCTTTTTCTTTTTTTTTTTGCTCGAGGGATTAATAAGTTTGTTTGGTAGATGTCATTGTGCAGTATTAGAGGCTAGTGATAAGCCTTCAGGAAGGTAGTGAGGATGATGCAAGCCAGCAACACATCAACAAGCAAGAAAAGATAACACTATGCGTCACCACCGCGATACAATATGCGCACGCGCCGTCTAGCATCTCTGTTTGCATCGAGAGCTACCCAGCAACACCACAAGACAATATGCGAATGCGCCGCTCAGCATGTAGGGCAGTCGAACAAAACGCGACGAGACCGACTTACGCTTATGATAATAATGCAGTCGTCATCAAAATCTTTCTAACAATTTCCATTGCCAACGAAAGCTCAGACCAATCAGTGTAGTTCAACGCCGGTAGGGGTATTTGTCCTCGGAGTAGTTGTTTCTGACTGGTCAACGAAGTTCAATTTTGCTTGGACAGGGAGCTTTAGCCTATGTCCTTCTGATGAGTTCTAACAAGGACGAAACGCGTCAAGGATTGGCACGGGAAGCCTGAGTCCACTGCTCAGTGGGCCGATTCCCAAAGAGGGACCGTAGTGTCCCTGTATCCACGCTGTATTACCTGAAAAAATCTTTCTAACAATTATAACATGGACATCAAAATAGCTACATGGAAAGCATAGATACATCATAGGGCAAAACCATATATCAAAGCTACTCTCATATAAATGGCTCCAAGATGGAAAGTTTTTCCTGAAACTGAGTGATTTTTTCTTATAATTAAAGATCAAGTGATAGCTACATTAAACTACCAAAAGTATATAATAAAAGACTTTAACATACATACCGATACGTGCAAAAAATGTCAGCAATTTAAAGAAACCATAGACCATTTTACCAGTGCAGTGGGTGCAAAATCTTAGCAGGTACAGACTACAATGAGAGACAGGAAGGATTATTCATCAGGCACTCGCAAAAACATACAATCTAATTACAGAAAAAACACCATACTATAAATATACCCCGAACACGATCATAGATATCAACGAATATGAACTATACTGGGATGTAGAAATACGCGTAGAGAAAACAATAACTTGCCATAGACCAGACATTGTTTTCCAAAATAAAAAAGAGCGGATCACTTATAGACATAGCCATACCCAATGATTCCAACCTTCAAAACAAATATAACGAAAAAAAAATATCAAAGTACACAGACTTGGGCATAGGAGTTCAGAAACTCTGTAAATAAAAAAAAAGTAACTGTCATACCATTCGTCATATCCACCACAGGCAATACACCTGACATGCGATACGCACCTTAAGCAGCTCGGGCTCAACTCACACATTCACACAAATATTCAAAAGTTTGTCATCCTCAATACGTGTAATATAGTTAGATCATTCCTTAATTCCAGCGGTAGACTCTGCAATAGCTTGGCACAACCCGCTTTTTCGGAGAAATAACACCACTATTCAAAAAAGTGAGAAAGTTTTTCAACAATAAATATGTTGAATACAAATAATAATAATAATAATTATAATAACCTCAACCAAAGGCATCACCCCACACATCTCGAGCAACTCGGTCCCAACCCTAACATTCACACAAACATGAAAAAGTCTGTTATCCTTAAAACTTGCAATATACTAAGCTCATTCCTCAATTCAGGAAATAGACTCTGAGAAGACTTGGTGAGAGCCCGTCATCTCAGCAACACCATTTTTTGCAAAGTGAGAAAAAGGGAAATAATGATAATAATAATAAAGGTCTTTTATTAATAAGTTCAAATTAAAATATATTAAATAACAATAATTTGGGCGAGATTCAGTACAACTACTCGAAGGGCGGTTGTCTGTTCTTATTTCTTACACCTAACTTGACCGAATATTCAATTAGTTGAAGTGCTGAACAACTTTTGTCATGGTCAATCTAAGCTCTCCAGTTATACCCACAAAAAAATCCAGGATTAAGCACCGCCTGCGTTTTTTAAGGGATAATTTCAACATGTATTGGCTTCGTTCTTGTCCGTTTCATAGGCAATTTATAGTCCTGCAATATTGAAATTGAGCTGTTAGTCCATCTGTCGGCAGTGACAAAAATTGTAATATTCTCTGATATGTTTTCAATTTGTATGTGGCAGATGTGATTCATCCTTTTTTGTGTGGCAATATCGATAATGATTAGATATAGGTATGCTTCAAAGATTGAAGGTTGCTGTTTGGATATCCTGTGTTTTAAAAAAAATTACAGTGGCTTGCGCAAAATTTATAATAAAGGAAAACGAGTTTTGGAAAACTGTTGCCCCAGTTTTCCCTTGATAGTGTAGGAGAGTAACAATGGTAACTGCAACAATAGATCTCGCTCGCTTGAAATCAAAGAATGCTTTTCAGCGCTTAAACAATCACCCTTTGTCCGTGACCTGTAAACAATTTGGACGATTCCTATGGTTTGCTCTGATTGTTTTTGGGCTTTTAACAATTTCCAACATAATAAAAGTTTATTATATGTATATTGAAAATTAAACCGGCAACACCGTTCGTTTGGTATGACTATTTGAGAATTAGAAAGAAAATTTGACTTTTAACAAACATTGTTGTCTTGAACCTATAGGACAGAAGTACTTGCAACTGAGTTTTGTACTCGTGTATATGTATTTGTTAGCAGTGAGCCTATATTCAGCTCTACCTGATTAGTTTGTATATCTGTTTCATGTCTAGTCTATTTTTTCACTGAAAGTTATTCTGAATACATATATAGACCCTGAGATAGGGACTGTTTAGTGTAGTTACTTTTTTTGTCTTGCGTTTTGAGGGCTGAATGTGGCTAGTTAACTGATGAGAATATAAGTGGTTTTAATGCCTGCTCCCCGTTCGAAATCTCCACAGAATGTTTTGCGGATTTGCTCGATTTCGAACTGGGATTACTGTCTGGCGATTTTTCAGCGTTATTTCATAACAAAACCGATTGCCAGATAGAAAGTAAATGCAGAAAGTTCTATGCTGTTCTTTTGCAAGTTGATACCCATCCCACTTTTTCAGCCATTGAAAAGCATCTAGCATTTTTTATGGGTGAATTATTTATCACTGTCAATCTTTTATTCAAAAGCTTGACAATTTAGGATCATTGAAAAAAATGCTTCATGTGAATGAATTTTCTATTTTCTCAAAATTTTCGAACTTCAAAGTGCCAGATGGAAAAAAAATGACTCCACTAAACAGTCCCTATCTCAGGGTCAAATAGTGCCAAACGTGTAAATGAGTAAATATAAAGTATAATAAAAAAAAAACATGCTTTATTCAAACGAGCAATGGTTCAGAAGGCCTGTATTGAAACGTACCATATTTCCTCATTGCACTTGACATGGGTTTACATAAACTGTAGTGAATCAAGACATATAATTTGCATGAGTTATAGCACATTTATGTCGAAAGATTCTTTTAATTAACAAAACGGGTAAATAGATGCCAACCCTGATTTTAGACTATGATAGCTCCAAAACGCAATAACTGTATAAAATCCCATGCACAGCATCGAAAAATTCCACACGCTCTTTCCTATTCGGTTATTTCAGTGCCGAGTGGAAAAGTAAAAACTCACTAATGAAATAACGCCCCGCTCGTGAAGTGTCGCATTCAGTGGTCGCTTTATTAGAAATGGAAATTTTGATGCAACATTTCTCTATGCCCGTTTATAGAGCTCAAGAGTGGTGGAGCCTAAATGCAAACTTATAATTAATTTTTGCTGCAGCAGAAGTTTGTGGTAAATTTTAAAAATGTTACCGCGATTTTTAATTTTTCATTGTGTGCAATAAAACTTTTCAATTTTTGTTTTGAAAACTTTCGTTAATAATAAATGAAGTTACAACGATCTTTTTAGTCGTATATTTTTTTTTTAAGTCAACAGTTTTTTTCGGGAAATATTGAGGTTGTCGTGCATAAGAGGAAGCATTTTGAATTGGACGATGTAGGAATCAGATATGGGTTTGCAAAAAGTTAAGCTTAAATTAAATGCCTGTTGTAGTGCTAGTTTTGTCGTGATTTTTGGGTTATTTCAACGAATAAAATTTATTTAGTTTTGGAAAACGAATGAAGTAGAAAATTTTATCTATGATTCAAAACCACAATGTTCTTTTGGAACTTGTGCAACATTTGCAACGAAAACATTCGTGAATTGTTTGGAACAGACTGTCTGAAATTATTATTATTATAATTTTTTTTTCAACAAATAATTCAACCTAAATAGTTTTCGAAGCCTGTCGAAGCGTTATTATTCGAGTTGAATAATACCAGAGCTTTTCTGTTTATCAATGACTATCGATTGCTTCAGCACTTGTTGTTAATATGGCCCATAATATGCTGGGTTTGCTCAGCAAATAATTATTAGGCGTGGATTGATAGTTTAATAAGTACAGAATGGCAAGGTCGCCACTGAATTTGAATAAATAAATAATTAAATTACATAAAATATGAAAGGGTGAAAATTCAGAAACACACCTAAAAAAAATAATCAGCAAACGGTAAATGATACTTTGAAAAGGAAATAAATAAGGCATATAGCTCAACCAAATCCTGACATAGGTAAACTAACAAAACCATTAGTACGTTTCAAATTAAATTAGCGTATATTTCAATGAGGTCAAGAATCAAGTAATAATATTACAATGTACCTCAATATAGTTGCCATATAAGTTCAACAGTCGCTGGCCATATCATCAATTTCAAATAAAAATTTGAAGGATTTAAGTTTCCAGATAATTAATTTAAAACAAAATTAATGAAGGAAAATTATATTCTTATATGAATAAATATGGTCAACTACTGCCAGAAATAAAATCAGTAAAATCAAATTTAAACTGTATGAAATCAAAGGTTA